TGGAAATATTACGTTAACGTACATAAAAATACATATATGTATTTAATTCAATTACATTCCCTATCTTTGTATACTATATCGCGCCCTTCTGCTATTATTGCGGACGCTTTCATAATGTTTAAAAAAATATAAAATTCATATACGTATATTGGAAATATGGCGCGTCTATAATATTTAAAAGAACATTAAAATTAAACATGTTTAAAATATGATACCTATAATATTTAAAAGAACATTAAAATTAAACGTGTTTAAAATATGATACCTATACTATTTAAAAGAACATTAAAAATAAAAGTGTTTAAAATATTATACATATAATATTTAAAAGAACATAAAAACTAAAGGTGTTTAAAATATTAATATATTCCATTTGCTGTGTGGGTAGGAGAATTTGATAATTGGGCATTTGGAGTTGTTGGAGATAGTGACTACCAAAAAATACAACAAGAAATAAATACAAATAAAAATAATAATGAGAAAACTTTAGTTACCATGAATACACAAGTAAAATTGGTACAATCGTCGTTAAATCAGATATTAAATGTATCCTAAATACCATCACAAAATTTTATTAAATTACAACGAGAATATAACGGCTTGATTAATATAATTTATTTTAAGCAAAATGAATGAATAGAAATTCAAATAAATCAACAATTAAGTAATAATTTAACAAATTTTAATTTTATAATGACTAGTTTTTCGCTTGAAATGGAAGAATTACTAAATGCCTTGTTATTGGCACATAAAAATATACTTCACCCGGTAATCCTTAATAATATACAGTTAAAAACGATTCTGGGAAATATGCAAAGTGAGTTATGTACAATTCGAGTTTTACCATTAACTAATAATACTGTACTGCCTAAACAATGTGCCGTTCACCATATTTTTCATAATAATGCATACTTTAAGAAACTTAATACAAAAAATACATTTTTATACTGGGTATCAACTACTGTACAAACCACTCTGGTTTGTTCTGCATCGACAACATTTCATATTCTAAAAGGAGCAGAAACTATAAAATTGCCAAGTGCATGCTCTCTATATACACCAACGACAATACTAAGGGCATCAGAAGAAAAAAGAAAAAATATTAATATATCAGTAAATATAAACCCGGACATTTCTCACCGAATTAAATTTAAAAATAAACAAAATAAAAAATTCAAAAATTCATCTAAACAATCTTCATTTTCAAATTCCAAAGTTAAAAAATTTACACTAATCTTCACAAAAATTAGATGATATTATTGGGGACATAGATAAAGAATCAGAAGACATATAATATGGTAACTATCAAAACTGGCATATATACTGACTGTATTTAGTAGGAGGTATTGTGAGTTATTTAGTTGTACATAAAATAAGTAGTAAAATAAGATTATACTGTAGTTGAGGGAAAAAACCAGAAATATTGGAAGACCTAGAGGTAGAGTAATACACCTAGACAATATGGTGTAATATTAATATAAATTAGAGATAATAAAATTATTGTAATAATTGCTATGATTAAGAAAAAAAAAAAAAAGAAAAATTTTTAATTGAATAATTTAATTAATAATGTAATGTATTTTGTTGAAAAAAAAATGTAATTGAATAATTATTAATAATTTTAATATAGGTATTTTGCTAAGAAAAAAAAATGTAATTGAACTAATAATATAATATATTTTGTTGAAAAAAAAATTATGTAATTAATAGCAATCATTGTTAAAATTAACATTTAAGGATAAATAATCGTATGCTTTTGTTTAAATTGAAAAAAAAAATACTGTCATATTATTTGTAAATATAAAATAGTGTTATGGGCAAACGAAAGGGGTAAGTGAGGACAGCCGTGGGTGTCGGTACGAAGGAAGGAAGGAGCAACTATATAATCTACGTCATCACCTCAGTCATGAAAATTTTCAAATAAAAATATATACTTTTATTTCAAACTGAAGTCAACTCCCTTGCCATGATATGTGGTGGAATACAACTAGATGAAGTTCAACCAATAAAATATAGCAGGAGATGGTTGGAGAACTATTATTTTTTTGCAGTTGAACATTTACACCACTATCTTCCACTCAGCTACCGGTGCTTCTACTTCCCAAATCTGGGGTCCAGATTTAAATGGACAAAAGGGGTACATGTAATGATTGCTGTCTATCGGCATCGTACATTATTCCTTAAGTAGGGCACCCGCTGCCTAATATGCTGAGTGTGAGGAATAGCTATCGCAGCTGACTGCTGACCAAGGGTTTTAGGCACGCGACAGCGGTGTATATAATAATTATGACCGAGGCAGTGTGTGAGGAGAGAGTGTGCGACCAACGACAACAGCAACATCGACTCCGCGACGATCCGACGGCCCCATCAACGATCCACACTTACGGCACGTCATCATCTACTCGGATCGGTAAACCCTTATATGTATATTGTATGTATCTGTCCTATGACCTATATTATATTACATATTTATTTATATTATACCTATGTGCTTATTTCAATAAGATAACCCTGATCTCTTAGTATTAATATTACACACCGAGGTCGAGTCCCCGAGACCTCGTAAAAATAAAACAGAACTTCAATCCGTAGCACGTCGCCGCCAGTCTTGAGATGAAGTGTTGAGAGTAAGATAGGTAAATGAATAAACACTGACACCTCTTGTTATTAAATAAAATAATACAATTTATTGTTATACGTTAAAAACACAAATATAATAAAAAGTGTACTGTCGTAAGAATGTTAAGCCCTTTAGCAGTGCTGACTATCTTCTCTAAGTAATCGTAAGTGCTCTACATGGGTATTTATACGGGTTCTACTTACGACGTATATTGGCGTGATATTAATTTGTTTTATTTTTATTCCCCAGTACTGTTGAATCGCATTATTATGCGATGATCTCTATTTCCCGTTAAGTAGGCTTTTAAACACTTTTCGTATTACTTATTTATAAATTATATACTGCGTGTATAATTTATTATTCTACGTTAAATTTGTAACTTTACATTATGGTCTTGGGTTTACTACAAGGTAGAGATGGGCAACGTTTTGTGAACATCGATGTATCGATTCATCGGAATTTGAAACATCGATTCTCCCAGTGAAAATATAGATGTTTTTTTAAAATCGATGTTCATAGTAAAAACATCGCCCAGGCAGCTGACCTGTCGCCGGGTTATTTCCGGTCGGCCCAGTGAATTCCATAGGCGGAAACCGGATTTCGTTGGCCTGTAGGTTCATATCCGCGAAATTTTGTGTTAATCGGATTTCGAGATCATGTAGTACTCTCGCACTACACTTGTACACTTAATTATTTAATGACGTGCTTTGACGTCTCGTTGTTGATAGTAGATCGAGTCACAAAAAAAAAAGGTATGTTGAAATAAGTGAGAAAGTCAATGTTATATTATAAGTTAAAAACAGTATGTTTTAATAAAGTAAATTAAAAAAAATAATAACAAAGTAATTTAGTTGCACTTGAATTTTGAGGACAGAACATAAAGTGTCTGCCCGAGAAATTAGTACTGTAAAAATTGGAATGAACTTAGGTATAGCGGCGATGTTGGGGACAAGCCCAACGACTATACTAAGTTCTGTATTAACTGAGACACAAACTAATTCTAAAAAATGCTTTAAACTAATGCTTCTTATATACCCGTGACCCTTATTCGTGGCGTGACCCCGACAAAGTCATCGGATAGGCTTTACGATTAAAATGTACATATTAGTTGTTTACGCCATATATCCATAATAATCATAATTGTAAAAACATTCGTAATCAATAAAATTATACATTATAAATTATAAGTATTTGTGACTACGTGGATTTGATCACGTAGGCCATATAACAAAAACACGTAAACATGTTAATAAAAATACAATACTATGAAAAGCCTAGTATAAGGAGTAAACACGGTTTACTACATGCCTCCCCTGTAAAATTGGAGCCTCAGGTTCCAATCAATAAACAGTTCGAAGTGTTGGATAATAGGAAGGGGAAATTTGCGTCACTTGAGGTTCTTCTAGGATAGGAGGAGCTGTCGTTGTTGATGTCGTTGTCTCCCCTAGGTTGATGGTTTCCATGCTCTGATGACATATTTTTATAGTCTGTTCGGTTTGAACTGTGGTTTGTCTCGTTTTTTCTTCACGTCGATTATTAATTTTATTCAATACAACTGTCATTGTTACCACTATAATAGTAAAAATTATTATGTATAATACATAATTATGTATATTTTGATTGCCTTTCAATTGTATTAGTTCTCGCGCGTTCTCGTTGTACGCTTGTAATTGTTTATGTGTTTTTGAAATTAAGTTAAGGTCATTCATGTGGTTATTTATAACATTTTCATCTTTCATCGTATAAAGATCAAGTGATACGTGTCAGTACTCTTGTTGAGTGATAACAGAGGTAGGAATGAAATCTGACAAGTTGTTTTCGGCACTACTGCTTGGTATTAGTAGATCTCTGGTGGCATACCCTTTGCATGTTTCATTTATTGTTATAACTCCCACTCCTACTAGAGTATGAGTGCTGGCTTCTAAATCGTTGTCACAGTTAATTATAATAACTTCATTGTCCGTGGCATATAACCACTTGTTTCTGTAACTTAATTTGTGAAAAATAGTTGCTTGTAATCTTACNAACTGCTATAGCAGTAATTAATTATATGGTCTTATATGAAAGTGCATGTTGTTCTGCCCCAGTAGATTTCAATAAACCATCGGGCACTGTCAAAATAAAGCCAAATAAAAATAAAAATAGTAAATTGAATTTCTCCTGTCTATTTTTATCCCTTTTCGTGTGTTTCCAATATATTATAATAATAATAATCAACATTAACAATCGTTATCGGTGTTGTCGATATAGTTTTATGCACCGTATAATGTGACTGAATTTTGGTGTATGAGTATTAGTATAGATAGTAAAATAAATATTATTAATCAGTACGTTTGGCGACCTCGTTGTACGAGTAGGTACCTACTTTAGTGCGTTCAATATGTCATCGCGACAAGATAAATTAATTGAACAATTCTTATCTGATGAATTAGATTCAGATGAATCTATAATGTACGATTCAGATGCCGATCCTGAATATATTCCTGGTGGTAATAAATTGCAAAGTTGCCAAGAAACATCGACATCTAACACATTCGTTCCTGTTGGTGGATCAGATTCAGATGATAATGACATTTCTGTGGAGGTAAGTTCAAGTGACGAAGATTGTGATTGGTCTGATTCAGATTTGTGGGTAGACACTGAAAAAGATATACTGGATTTCAATTTTGATTCAACTCTATCGGGAATTAAAATAAACGTACCCGAATCTGCTCGAGATTCACCAATAGATTTATTTAAACTTTTATGGACTGACGACATTTTTGATATAATTGTGAATTCTACAAATAATTATGGACACATAATTAAAGCAGTAAACCGTCCTCACAGTAAATATTCTCGTAAAACATGTTTCAATGAAACCAACAAAGATGAAATGCAACATTTTTTCGGAATCTGTTTACTTTTGGGTTCAGTAAAATATTCCGTTTTACGTGATGCATTTTCAAATAACCCCTTATACAGCCATCCTTTGTTTAAAAAAACAATGTCAGGAAGAAGATTTGAGCAGCTTTTAAATTGTTTTAGTGTAGAGTATTCTGGTTTAGAAGTGTGTGATGATGGACCGATGCGAAAAATTAATCCCGTGTATACACTTCTAATACAAAATTTTCAAAAAGCTATTTATCCAGATATAAATTTGTCATTAGATGAATCATTACTTTTACATCGTGGTAGATTAGGATTCCGTCAATACATTAAGGGGAAAAAAGCAAAGTATGGAATCAAATTTTATGAGCTCTGTACCCCCGATGGTTATGTATTAAACATTGACATGTACAAAGGAAAAAATGATTCAATTTCTCAAGTTCCAAGTCAAACTTCTAAAATCGACAGCTTAGTATTAAAGCTTATGTCTCCGTACTTGGGTAAAGGACACAGTCTTTATATGGACAACTATTACAACAGTGTAACGCTATCGAACGTATTATTAAACAAACAAACTCACGTAACAGGTACGTTAAGAAATAATAGAAAAGGAAATCCGAAGGAAGTAGTAAATAAAAAACTTAAAAAAGGTGAACATGTATGGAAACGGAGAGGATTGGTTTACGTTTCGAAATGGAAGGATAAACGAGATGTAGTATGTATTACCACTAATTATAAACCAACCATTATTTTATCAACAAATAAATATGGTCAAGAAAGATTTAAGCCTATTGAAATCGTGAAATACAATGAATTTATGAGTGGGGTAGATCGTGCTGATCAGATGATCAGTTACTATTCTTGCCCTCGTAAGTCAGCAAGGTGGTATAAAAAAGTCTTATTTCACTTATTAGACGTGACAATATGGAATACATTTTTTATTTATAAAAAACATTTTTCTCTCAATAATCTGAGATTTAAAGACTTCAGAGACTCTCTTATTAGAAATTTCATACAAATTCCTGTAGATGCAACTTGTGATCAATTATTTAAAAAAATAAAACCCAAAAGATCAGACATTGTTATACCGGATAATGCACACTTTCAAGAAACAATTCCACTTCCTGAAGGTTACAAAAGAAAAAAATACTTCAAAAACTGCGTTGTATGTTTCAAAAAGAAAGTTCGAAAACAAACTTCATTTCAATGCAAGACGTGTAAGGTTGGATTATGTGCAGGAAAATGCTTCGAAGTTTACCATATAGACAAAAATTTGGAATAAAGAATTCATTTGTTTTTTTACTATTATTCTTAATGAGTATAATTTTTTTCGGAGTTTTTTTTGTACAAAAAAAAAATTCAATATTTTTCTGTTTTAAAATAATTTTTACCTGTAAAGATGCATATTTGATTTGATTTTATGTTGTACCTATATGTTTAATAAAGATTAACTTTATAAACTTTATTTGTTATTACTGCTATAGCAGTATTATAAATATTTTGACATACGTACTTCACACAGTTTGATGTATAGGGGCAGTTCTGCTATAGCAGTAATGAAAAAATTACTGCCATAGCAGTAATGAAAATTGACGTTTTAAGGATGGTTTTTTTTCGACGGCGGCCACGAGACTGTCCATCAACGTGTTAATTGATGCTGTTATATGCTTTTCAGAAGTTTCATGAATAATAATTTTAGCAACTCCATTTTTCCAGTTTGAAAAGCCTTCACGTGTCCAACTCTTATTTTCATGATTTCCAAACAACGCACAGTAAAGGCAAAATATTTTATTTTTCCTAACAGAATAGGACAACCACTTCCTGCAAATTATTTCTCCACTTGGTTGTTTTTTATAGTACCAATTTTCATGAAACGATCGGCCCTGACTATCTTTTGGAAAACATTTATTTGGTAGTTCATTAGGAACCGGCTGAGCTGGACCGTTTTTGAACATATATTCAATAAGATCAGGGTTTATTTTATAAACTTGACCAAGAACAGAAGGATCGTTTCCAAATTCAAAAACTGTAAAAAAAAAAATGTATCATATCATCAAGGTCAAGTAGGTATGTATAAAATATTATTCACCCAATTAATATCGGATGTAAGTAGGTACAAAACGTATGATAATAATTATGATTATGGAGAATTAATAAATTATAATATAAAAATTGTCTTACGGTTCATTTCAATTGAGTCTTTTGGAAAAGCTTCATGATTACCAGGATCAATATACTCATTTTTATCTACTGGTGTCTCAACTTCATTATCGTCAACATTTACATTTTTATTTAAGATTTGTTGAGCTGTCACCTCTTTAAACACGACGCTTTGATTAACTGAAAAATGAATATCATACAAATGTAGTAAAATGTCTAATGTTTTTCTTATTCTACATTTAAATTGTGTTTCTTACTTGGTGATGTACCATCTTCAATTTCACAAAGATTTGCATTTACATCATTGGTGGTATTATCTATAGCTTATAAAGTATTAAAAATAATTGATTATTAGTACTATGTAGTATTGTAGTAGGTATATGTATAAGTACCTATGTAAATAGTATGTATAATAATATATACTTTTAAAAAATTATAATTAATTTAATATTTATAAAATCATGTATAAAATATATAAGTACCTTGATATTTGTGTAAAGTAGAAGTATAAGTTGTAGAAGTTGATGACTTAAAAAATTTTATGATACTGCTCATTGATGAAATATTTTTCCTCTTTTTACACGCATTCAAATGACGTTCCCAATTTGTACTATTAATACTTCCCCTTTTTTTGCCACAGTTGCAGAATAAATAATTGTCATGGTTCATAACTGTAGTTTGCTTTATATAATAATATAAACGTAGGTATTAAAAAAAAATTATAAATTAACAAACAGTAGGATTTTTTTTATTCATTTAAATGTTAATAATATAAAAATTTTATTGAAAAAAAAAAAAGAATTATGGTTGAAAAAATGTTGAATGTTTTTAAAACTAAAAGATAAAATATGAGTACCGTTGCATCCACGATAATGTTTCTGAGGGAGCAATAGTACCTATCATATTTCACCCACTGACAACAGTCAATTAGTCAAAAATATTATCTTATAATAATAATAATAAGTATAATGTATTATTTTATTTTTTATAGCACTAAGAGCTAATACAATTAATTTAATAATTTATTTTGCTATAAGCCTGTTGCGATCCAGATATGGAGTTCGGTTGACTAGGGTCGAATCAAATGAATTTACTCGTAGACAAATTAATTATTGTTATAATTTTATTGAATGTTATAGGTTAGTATTTAGACACCTTTTTAAGCACTCAGAGTAACGTTACAACTTAAGACAAATATCTCTAGCATGAATACTGTCAACTAGTCGTCACGTAGAAATAATGTGTCTGGTCTCTCTGATGGAGAGCCCTTATATACTAGACAAACAGTCAGATTACATGGCCTTTCACAAGGTGGTCCCACTTAAGTATTNAAAGTTATACAGACCACCACCCTTGCTTACAAAATAAAAAAGGTGGGGGGCTTTGCCCCCCACACCCCCCATGCAAGTATTCAACACTCTAAAATTACTTTAGAGACTATTAGACTAATACTTTTAAATTATTCATGATGCCACTTTTTCAACCACAATCACACATAGTAAGCACTATTCATGGTTCAAACAACTTAAAATTACAATTTTTTGACTGCAATATTTAGTAGCACAAGTGTGTAACTAGCTCAAATATTTTGGGGAGGCTTATTTTTACTCTATTTTCATTTTTATTTTATTATTCCTAATGAAAGTGTTCACAACTAGTTTCATGTTTTACTTAACAAATATAAAGTCAAATGTATTAATTTATAATTTACCAAGTTTTTTAAACAGCAAAACAGGTATAACATATTTCATAGTTTCATACGTATCTACATGGCTACATACCTGAAATACTTTTAACTTAACACTTAACAGTCCAGTATTAGGACACTTTAAATAACTGGTAAAAACAATATTATTCAAACTCTCTAAATAATTTTTAATCTGAAAAAATAATATTAACATTAAAAATTTAAAAAAAAAAACATTAAAATATTGTTAAAATTGAATATAAATAATTTAAGTTTATTTTAATTACAATAATAATTTTCTGAGAACTGAGCTGTGTGATGAAAATGTTTTAATAACATCATCAGTATTTATTGCTATATCTTTCTCACAAGAAATTAACATAAGACTTTCTAGACGTTCTTCACACATTGTACTTCTTAGACGGGTTTTGATGAGTTTGAGTTTTGAAAATGCTCTTTCAGGGGATGCACTCGAAACTGGTAATGTTAAAGCAATACGCAGTGCAGTGTAAATTGTAGGAAAGACTTCTTTCAATCCAGTAGAGTGACATATTTTAAAAATTGAATTTATAGTTTTTTGATTGTTGGATTTTTTAGATTTTTCAGCTTTATATTCATCATCGGTATCTGTATCTGTCTCTAAAAATGTGTCTATACTATTAAATCCATGTTCATGTAATGACTCAGGAAGATGCGTTATATTTTCAAAACTGGAATATGACTTAGCAAACTGAACAAATTCACGCCTTAAATCAGAGGCGTTAAGAAATTTTCCATACACATTAGCAAGCCCGTCAAATGCATCAATAGGCAGGCTAGATTCATTTTCTGCCACTTCATTTAATCTTTTGGAAAAGCTTCATGATTACCAGGATCAATATACTCATTTTTATCTACTGGTGTCTCAACTTCATTATCGTCAACATTTACATTTTTATTTAAGATTTGTTGAGCTGTCACCTCTTTAAACACGACGCTTTGATTAACTGAAAAATGAATATCATACAAATGTAGTAAAATGTCTAATGTTTTTCTTATTCTACATTTAAATTGTGTTTCTTACTTGGTGATGTACCATCTTCAATTTCACAAAGATTTGCATTTACATCATTGGTGGTATTATCTATAGCTTATAAAGTATTAAAAATAATTGATTATTAGTACTATGTAGTATTGTAGTAGGTATATGTATAAGTACCTATGTAAATAGTATGTATAATAATATATACTTTTAAAAAATTATAATTAATTTAATATTTATAAAATCATGTATAAAATATATAAGTACCTTGATATTTGTGTAAAGTAGAAGTATAAGTTGTAGAAGTTGATGACTTAAAAAATTTTATGATACTGCTCATTGATGAAATATTTTTCCTCTTTTTACACGCATTCAAATGACGTTCCCAATTTGTACTATTAATACTTCCCCTTTTTTTGCCACAGTTGCAGAATAAATAATTGTCATGGTTCATAACTGTAGTTTGCTTTATATAATAATATAAACGTAGGTATTAAAAAAAAATTATAAATTAACAAACAGTAGGATTTTTTTTATTCATTTTAATGTTAATAATATAAAAATTTTATTGAAAAAAAAAAAAGAATTATGGTTGAAAAAATGTTGAATGTTTTTAAAACTAAAAGATAAAATATGAGTACCGTTGCATCCACGATAATGTTTCTGAGGGAGCAATAGTACCTATCATATTTCACCCACTGACAACAGTCAATTAGTCAAAAATATTATCTTATAATAATAATAATAAGTATAATGTATTATTTTATTTTTTATAGCACTAAGAGCTAATACAATTAATTTAATAATNTCGCCCTTTCTTTATTGTAACATTCTCGTTATCATGAACCATGATTACTTCGTATGGTCCCGACCAATTAAGACTTAACGTATTCTTTTTATGTTGTTCCTTTACTAACACCTTATCACCTACATGGAGAGTTAATGGGTTGATAGTTTGATCATAGTAACGTTTGTTGTCTTGTTTTTTATTAATTAAGTTATTCCGTGCTATTTCGTGTGCCTGCTGCATATTACGTTTAAAATCAAAAACATAGTTATCGTAATTATATTGTAGTTCGACTTTTCTCGATAGTGCCGCTGGAATGTTAGGTTTATGTCCGAAAACGAGTTCATATGGAGTGTAATTTGTTGATGTATGTATAGTGCTATCAGTGGCGCCGAACTATATTTTAAAAGGGGGGGCAAGTAAAAAGTTATACAGACCACCACCCTTGCTTACAAAATAAAAAAGGTGGGGGGCTTTGCCCCCCACACCCCCCATGCAAGTATTCAACACTCTAAAATTACTTTAGAGACTATTAGACTAATACTTTTAAATTATTCATGATGCCACTTTTTCAACCACAATCACACATAGTAAGCACTATTCATGGTTCAAACAACTTAAAATTACAATTTTTTGACTGCAATATTTAGTAGCACAAGTGTGTAACTAGCTCAAATATTTTGGGGAGGCTTATTTTTACTCTATTTTCATTTTTATTTTATTATTCCTTATGAAAGTGTTCACAACTAGTTTCATGTTTTACTTAACAAATATAAAGTCAAATGTATTAATTTATAATTTACCAAGTTTTTTAAACAGCAAAACAGGTATAACATATTTCATAGTTTCATACGTATCTACATGGCTACATACCTGAAATACTTTTAACTTAACACTTAACAGTCCAGTATTAGGACACTTTAAATAACTGGTAAAAACAATATTATTCAAACTCTCTAAATAATTTTTAATCTGAAAAAATAATATTAACATTAAAAATTTTTTAAAAAAAAACATTAAAATATTGTTAAAATTGAATATAAATAATTTAAGTTTATTTTAATTACAATAATAATTTTCTGAGAACTGAGCTGTATGATGAAAATGTTTTAATAACATCATCAGTATTTATTGCTATATCTTTCTCACAAGAAATTAACATAAGACTTTCTAGACGTTCTTCACACATTGTACTTCTTAGACGGGTCTTGATGAGTTTGAGTTTTGAAAATGCTCTTTCAGGGGATGCACTCGAAACTGGTAATGTTAAAGCAATACGCAGTGCAGTGTAAATTGTAGGAAAGACTTCTTTCAATCCAGTAGAGTGACATATTTTAAAAATTGAATTTATAGTTTTTTGATTGTTGGATATTTTAGATTTTTCAGCTTTATATTCATCATCGGTATCTGTATCTGTCTCTAAAAATGTGTCTATACTATTAAATCCATGTTCATGTAATGACTCAGGAAGATGCGTTATATTTTCAAAACTGGAATATGACTTAGCAAACTGAACAAATTCACGCCTTAAATCAGAGGCGTTAAGAAATTTTCCATACACATTAGCAAGCCCGTCAAATGCATCAATAGGCAGGCTAGATTCATTTTCTGCCACTTCATTTAATCTTTTTATTTGAAATAGCGATAGATCTTTAAAAAGTGGTGTTGAATCTTCATTGAATCTTTCTGTAATCTGAGTAATAACAATATCTATTATTGAATAATATGTTTTTATTCTAAGGTTATCAATGGGGGAGTTTAATTGTTCATCAGCAGCTATTTCACCCGGCATTTTTTTAATTTTCTTTACACGACTAAGTTGTAGATACGTAAAAGAAAAGTCATTGAGTTTAGAATTAATAAAATTATCTTTGTCCTTTATAATATTTTCAAAAGATTCATCATCACGAATAATTTGTATTTGACTGAGTATGCTTTGAGTATAATTTATAGCACCCAACAAATCAATATCTTTCCCTTGCAAAAATTTGGTAAATGGATGAGTGATATCAAATATCTTTTTAAACGTCAAAGCTATTAAAACAAAACGTTCCGATAACATATAATTCATTAAACTGCCGGATTTTACACAACATACACGGTCAGTGGTAAGATCATTTTGGATGAAATGTAATGTATCAATAATTGAATCAAAAGTGTCTAAAACAGTGTCAAGTGCGGATGAATGAGATGACCACCGCATAGTATCTACTCGTTTTAATCGACGCAAAGGTTTGCCGGGGTATCTTTTTTTTGATACTCAGAATAAAATTCAACTCGTTTCTTACTGCTTCCGATGAAATCATAAAGCGTTTCTAAATTTCCAAAAAGTTCACGAGCTATCACACAGGTACTTACTGCATCTATAATTATAAGATTGAATCGATGTGCCCAACACCAAACGTAAGTAGCTCTAGGGTTTTCTTTTTTGATAATTGCTTGAAGTCCTTTGTAGGCTCCTCTCATTGATGCAGCACCGTCATAGGCCTGCCCAATCAAGTGTTCTTTCCAATTTAAGTTCATATCTTTACAAATTTTTTCAAACATGGTAAAAAGATGATCTCCAGTTGTGAGTAAAGTTTCACGAACTGCCACTAATCTTTCACAAACTATTCCGGAAGTTTGATTTATGTATCTAAAAACCAATGACAGCTGTTCTTTTCGTGATATGTCAAAAGTTGTATCTAACGAAACACTAAAAAATGTAGCGCTTAAAATTTCTTTTTGTATCACATTACAAATATTAGTAGATATACTTTGTATTAACTGGTTTTGTCTTTGCCATGATAAAAAGTTATGTGTTTTTTTCCCTCTAATTTGTACTTCTGTAATATATGAAGCCAAAGCTGGAGAATATTTTGCTAAAAGCAAAGCTAGATCTTTAAAATTACCTCTCAATTCATCTTGCCATCCTTCTTTATGCCCTCTAAATGGAAGACAATGTTCTACCAAGAAACAAAGTCAGGTCTACTAAATGGCTAACTATTTCTCTATTCATAACAACATTTGACCTATTTTGTTCGATTATTGATGGTAAAAGAGGAAATGAAGCTTCTTTGTACATGGCTTTAACACGTTGGTGGACAGTACTGCTATAGCAGTAATTTCAAAAATTGATGTCGGGGGACACTTTCAAATATTACTGTTATAGCAGTAATACGAAAACCGTCGAAAAAATGTCAGTACTGCTATAGCAGTAATTTCAAAAATTGATGTCGGGGGACACTTTCAAATATTACTGTTATAGCAGTAATACGAAAACCGTCGAAAAAATGTCAGTACTGTGTTATGAAACCGTGGTTCCAACACAAATAAATTTAACGCACGATTAGTTATTAATAATATAGATTTTATTACTGGTTGTTAAATTCACTAAATGTACATAAGTATAAAAAAGGCTCTGGTTAACATACGTTATGTATAATGCTCTGTTCTAAACACGACTGACTAACCTCCTCCCTGTGTGTCGGCCTGCGACCCAGCCGGACGCCGAATCGTCTAGTCAGCGGATTCCAGTCGGCGAGCCGTCGACCAACACACTATTCCTACTGCTAATATTATATTATGTGACAACATAATATAATATAATATTGTTCAGGGG